TCTAGCTTTTACTTTAGCTTTCGACCTTGAGATTTCTCCCAGCTTCCCCCCGTAGTCCGTATCTGAGTCTAAGCCTAGGCTTTCAATAGCTTCTTCCGGCACCCTTTTCGTCCGGCTTTGAACTAGGCTGTTTGCTAATATCTCTCTCCGGTATTTTCCCAGTTCTTCCCGTTTCTTCCCGTTTCTTCCCTCCTAAGTTTGCTATCCGTCCTAGGTTTCCTATCCGAGTCACAGCACCATTATGTCGCTCCCCCTCTTCGTGGAGGAGCAACACAGGACCCTGCGCTGTTCTTTCGTCTGCTCGGCCCTCCCCGGGTTTGCTGCTGGTTCTTCCCGGGTTGGCTACTATCCCTTCCACCTCCGTGGAAGGGCAGTTCCCCCTGGCCGCATTCCCCACTTCCGCAGGGGAGCGGCACACCGCCGGCCGGTTCTCTCGGGGGCTGCACGGGTTCCCTTAGATGTTCCCCATAGATGTTCCCGGTGCATGCCGTCTCTCTCCTCCTTTATAGTCCTCCTCCGCCAATCCCAACTCGGCTGCCCACACGCCGAGCACGCTGCTCTCCAATCAGGAGTAGGTCCTACAGTTTATTGGTTGAACTGGAGGCAGCTGTGCGGAAGCTGTTTACTTCTCTCCCAGCGCCATATTGTGGGAGAGCAGATGCATAGAATAAGTCTTAATTCCAGTAACTTAGTCTAGTCCGAGCTGCTCCCCACAGAGGAGAGCAGATGCATAGAATAAGTCTTAATTCCAGTAACTTAGTCCAGTCCGAGCTGCTCCCCACAATGGGTAGTCAGGTTTCTAGGAGGGGAAAAAGATCCAGTTTCTGATATGTTGAGATGTCTATTAATGATCCAATTGGAGATATCAAGGAGTTAGTTGAAGGAGTATTTCAAAATTTATGGAAAACATATATTGTGAAAAAATTATGCATGGATCCCCAAGAACCTTTGCATCAAAATAAACATATCTTTAAATTCCATTTTTCCAAAAACTTCTTGAAGTATTCTCATTTGTACATGTAGAAGACTGGGCTGGGGATATAAACTTGGAAACCTATAGCATAACAATTGTATTTAAATCTATTAGGCTAGATGAGAACATCAAGGAACGAGGCATACAGAAAAGAAAATAAAGAATACTCTTGGGGCCAGTGTTGCGGCCATGTGGGTAAAGCTGCTGTTTGCAATGCCAGCATCCCATATAGGCGCTGGCTTGTGTACCGGCTGCTCCACTCTGATCCAGCTCCCTGCTAATGGCCTGGAGAAAGCAGCAGGCCATTATGTACCCATATGGGAGACCTAGAAAAAGCTCCTGGATCCTGGCTTGGGTCTGGCCCAGCTCTGGCCATTGTGGCCATTTGGGGAGTTAGCCAGTAGATAGAAGGTCTCTGCCTCTCTCTCTCCCTGTCTGTAATTCTGATTTTCCAAATAAATAAATAAATCTTAAAAATAAAAAAATACTCTATATTGAGATATCAGGTAGAAGACAAAATGAATATCCAGGGAGGTATGATGAAAACCAAGATAATGTGCATGCTAGAAGCCAACTGAAGAAATTATTTAAAGGAAGGGAGTGATTAATGGTGTCAACAGGTGTGCAAGGATAGAGTAAGTATGTTTATGATAAGAACTGACCATCTTATGATGAAGAGATGAATTTACAAAGAGCAGATTTGTGAAAAGCGAAAGCTTGTCTATGGTTGGTTTAAGAGAAAATGGGAAGAAGATACTGGGGGTTTGAGAAGGTATGAGATGCTTTTCTAGAAGAGTGAATCAGTGAGTGGCAGACAGTATAATTGCCTACTTGAGATTCATGGTCATGAGTTTAAAGTGAGAACAGGACTTAGGCTAGTATATTTTCTCTAGCCATGTTCAACTGCTCAAGAGTATACATAGAATAGGTGGGAAAATGGACTAAATAGGGTTATTGTTTTTCCAAAGGGAGTAATGACACAAGAGAGGGTCAAAGGCGTCAAAAATACATGCAAAGGAGTGACTGGTGTATGCAGGATATCACCAGTTGGGGGAGGGTTAAAAAAAGTGATAGGATCAATACACTGGATATTCAAATACAGTATGAGCAGTAGAGGAAGTAAGCTAGAGACACAAGAAGTATAATCAGATCATGGGACACAAAAAATTGGGATCATGGTAAAGTCAATTCCTAATATTTATTATAATTTACATTTTGGCTTCGTCAAAACTTTTAAAAAAGCAATTACTTTTTCTGAACTTAGTATAAAAATATTTTCTTACCTCTGATGAGGAAGGTCGACTTAGATTGAGTGACATCTTTACCAGTGTCTGAACGGGATAGTTATCAGCTGAAATTTTGGGATTTTTTTCTCTTTCTTCATTTAAATGGTATCAAACAAAAGTTAAAATAGACTTTTGGCTTTTTTAGGTAGCATTCCACTCATTTCTGGTCTCTGATTTGTTCAAAAAGTAAAAAAAAAAAAAAGAAAGGACAAAAGATTTACAATAGACTCAAAATGAAAACAGGAATGTTTATACTGTTATTATTATTCTAATTTTAAAATAATACACTGATAAATAGAGCTGGTAACTGCAATGAAATGAATACACACTCTATAAAGTCCCAAATTTACAATGGTATGAAAGTGATATTCCACAGAAATCTTAAATTTTGAATTTTGATTTTTTTCCTGGGCTGGTAACATAAGACACTCTATTTTCTTCACCAGGCAATCATGTGATTACAAAGTTAAACAATCAATGCTCTATTCTATTAAGGTTTCATGTTCAAGAAATTAGATGTACTACATGCATTTTCAACTTAGAATATTTTTAACTTAGGACAGGTTTATCTGGACATAACCCCATCGTAAGTTCAGGAGCATCTGTATAACCAAGTAAACTGATGAATTTTAACAGACTTGTGATCAGTACATATTTTGCTATTATAAACAATTCATTTTCCCTTGGCCAAAAATTGTTTAAATAGCATTTTACATAAAGAAGAAACATACTTTTTGAAGTGGAAAGAATTAATTACATGAATAGTTACAGACTGCTTAAAATGGTTTTATTATGTGCATTTTTTCCTGGGTTTCAATGCCTCAATAACAACATATGTAAACAATCATTCCAGATGAAAATATCAGTCTTTAAATATATCAATTTAATTTGTATACTTCCTATGTTTTTCCTCAGACAGTTTACAAGTATACATGATAAAATTAAAAATATAAATGAAAGTTGAAAATAAGGTAGTTGAATTATTAATCTAAAAAGGAATTATCAAAGTGGGACAATCCTTCAGGATATACTAATCACACTAATACCACTGCATAACCTTTTTCTGATTTGCAAAGCATTTCTCCACCTTGCCTTTTATAAAAATAATGCTTTAAATGCAACAAAACCTAAAATTCTTCTGATTTGGTACTGATCATAGCTTTATAAAATCCTATCAGATACCACTAATTATTTTAACATAATCAAAACTAAAAATTATTTCTTGGTATATATAATCCAAATCAAACTAGTTTCATATACTATTTCCTATATGGATTTCTTACAATTACAACTTGAAATATGACTTATCATTTTGACCATTTAAAACACAATTTTAAATACACTGCTATTTTAAGAAAACATTTAGATATTCCAATTTCTATATCTATCCAAAGAATCTTTCCGCCATTCTAATACTTGTTACTAGTCTCCATTATGAACCTAAATGTACCATGACTCAGATACATACATGGTCATTTCCTCAACAGATAAGAACAGACAATTTATAAGAATTACACGTCAAGGACATTTAATGATGAACAATGTAAATTAGGAATCCAGAACTTTAAATTGCTGTAGATTCATTAAAAACTTGATTGAACAAATTTTTAATAACATCAACTCAAGACAGATCAGTCAAGACTTGCTTTACTATTACCCTATGATAAACTGTTCCATTAAAATATCCCTTACAAAATAACAGTAAAGAAGCCATGTGTTGAACTATACAAACTCCTTTTAGTCATTTCTGATTGCATCATTGCTGGTAACCATATCCTTATAGCCAGAAACAAGCAAAAAGCCTGATATACAAAGATGATCAGGCTGTAGCACAACAGGTTAAGTCTCTGCCTGCAACACTGGCAATCTCATGAGTGGCAGCTCATGTCTGGGCTGCTCCACTTCCAATCCAGTTCCCCTGCTAATGCTCCTGGGAAGGAGGCAGAGGATGGTCTGGGTACTTGGGCCCCTGACATCCCATGGGAGACCCAGAAGAAGCTCCAGGCTCCTGGCTTCAGTTTGGCCTAGCCCCAGCTATTGCAGCCATCTGTCTCTCCCTCTCTAACTCTTCCTTTCAAATAAACAAATAAACCTTAAAAAAAAAAAAAGATCCTTTTAGAACTAGAATTAAAAACTTAAGATTCAAATATTAGTTAGTAGACATTGAAGCAAAAATAATGTGTGAAGAGAAGTCAGTGAAGTAGTATCACAGCCATGAAGCAAGTCCATGTTATGGAAAGCTCTATTAGTAAACAGATAGAAAAAGAGATAAAGCATATCACGAATGACTAAGTGAACTGGTTGTGAAGCAAACCAGGGAGATAACATAGCCGATTCATATTGATAGCTAAGCACTAGACAGAAGTCAAGAATTCTTGCTACTGAGCTCCTGAGCCTTGGATTCACTTCCAGTTTGGCCCATCAGTGCCAATAGTTTCCCTTTTAGGATTTCCATGGAATATCTATCTATGCTATTGCTGTTAATCTTTTTTTTATTTAATGAGCATAAATTTCCAAAGTACAACTTATGGATTACAATAGCTTCCTCCCCCCCGTAACTTCCTTCCCACCCACAACACTCCCCTCTCCCACTCCCTCTTCCCCTTCCCCTTCACATCAAGATTAATTTTCAATTATCTTTATATACAGAAGATCAATTTAGTGTATATTAAGTAAAGATTTCCACATTTTGCTCCCACACAGAAACATAAAGTGTAAAATACTATTTGAGTACTAGTTATAGCATTAATTAAACATCTAAGAGTAATTGTGTATTAATTACAGAGTTCAACCAATAGTTTTAAGTAGAATATAAAATGCAACTTTTGTATTGTTGTGGCTCCCCCCCCCCACCTCCCTCCCTCCCGTGACCCTCCCTTCTCCCACTCCCTCTCCCATCCCACCTTCATCGAGTTTCATTTTCAATTACCTTCATATACTGAAGATCAACTTAGTATATACTAAGCAGGGATTTCAACAGGCTGCACTCACACAACCGAACCAGGTATAGGGTATTGTTCAACTAGCAGTGTTGTTTTTGAGTTTCATAGTTAAACTCATTAAGGACAGAGATCCTACGTGGGGAGCATGAACCCAGTGACTCCCGTTGTTGATTTAACAGTTGGCACTCTTATTTATGATGTCAGCAATCACCCGAGACTCTTGCTATGAGCTGTCTAGGCTATGGAAGCCCCTTGAGTTCACCAACTCTGAATTTGTTTAGTCAAGGCCAAATCACAGTGGAGGTTCCTTCCTCCCTTCAGAAAAAGGCGCCTCTCTTCTTGATGGCCTGATTCTTCTGCTGGGGTCTTGTTCACCAGGATCTTTCATTTAGATTGTTTTTTGCCACTGTGTCATGGCTTTCCATGCCTGTGAGACTCTCATGGACCTTTTAGTCAGATCCGAATGTCACAAGGGTTGATTCTGAGGCAGGAGTGCTGTTTTGGGCATTTGCCATTCTATGAGTCTGCTGTGTGTCCTGCTTCCCCTGCAGGATCATTGTCTCCCTTTTGATTCTATTTGTCATTATTTGCTTACAGTTCTTATTTGTGTAATCTCTTCGACGCTTACCCCATCTTTTTGATCAGTTGTGTATTTGTACTTGTCACTTTACCAAGTGTGCTGGCATTGGTACCTGCCTCCTTGGTAAGGTTGAGTTGAAATCCCCCGGCACATTTCTAGTTCCACCATTGGAGGTAGGTCTGAGTATGTGCCATCCTATATATCTCCTCCCTCTCTTATTCCCACTCCTATGTTTCACAGAGATCAGTTTTCTGTTAATTTTTAAACGCTTAAGAATGGTTGTGCATTGATTGCAGAGTTCAACCAGTGGTCTTGTGTAGAGCAAACCGAGCAACAACGACGACAAAAATACTAAAGGAACAAAATAGTAGGTTGTTCCTCAACAGTCTAGACAAGGGCTGCTCATGTCATTGTCTCATAGTGTCCATTTCACTTCAATGGGTATCATTTTAGGTGCTCGTTTACTTGCTATCGATCAGGGAGAACATGTGATATTTGTCCCTTTTGGACTGGCTTATTTCACTCAGCATGTTGTTTTCCAGCTTCCTCCATTTTGTTGTAAATGCCCGGATTTCATTGTGTTTTTTTTTTTTTTTACTGCTGTATAGTGTTCCATAGAGTACATATCCCATAGTTTCTTTATCCAGTCATCCGTTGATGAACATTTAGGTTGATTCCATGTCTTAGCTATTGTGAATTGAGCTGCAACAAATATTGAGGTGCAAATGGCTTTTTTTCTCCCCTTTAATTCCATTTGGGTATATTCCAAGGAGTGGGATGGCTGGGTCCTGTGGTAGTGCTATATTCAGATTTCTGAGGATTCTCCAGACTGTCTTCCATAGTGGCTTTACCAGTTTGCATTCCCACCAAAAGTGGATTAGTGTCCCTTTTTCTCCACATCCTTGCCAGCATCTGTTGTTGGTTGATTTCTGTATGTAAGCCAATCTAACTGGAGTGAGGTGGAATCTCATTGTGGTTTTGATCTGCATTTCCCTGATGGCTAGGGATCCTAAGCATTTTTTCATGTGTCTGTTGGCCATTTGGATTTCCTCTTTTGAAAAATGTCTGTTAAGGTCCTTGGCCCATTTTTTTATTGGGTTGTTTGTTTTGATTCTGTGGTGTTTTTTGATCATTGTGTAGATTCTAGTTGTTAATCCTTTATCTGTTGTGTGGTTTGCGAATAACATCTCCCATTCTGTTGGTTGCCTCTTCGCTTTCCTGACTGTTTCCTTTGCTGTTAAGAAACTCTTCAATTTGAGGTAATCCCATTTGTTTATTTTATCTTTGATTACCCGTGCCTGTGGGGTCTTCTCCAGGAATTCTTCACCTATTCCGATATCTTGAAGGGTTTCCCCTATGCTCTCAATTAGTTTCATGGTGTCATGGTGCATCTCTAGTTCTTTGATCCATGTCGAGTGGATTTTTGTATAAGGTGTAAGGTAGGGGTCTTGCTTCATACTGCAACATGTGGACATCCAGTTTTCCCAGCACCATTTGTTGAAGAGGCTATCCTTGTTCCAGGGGTTGGTTTTAGGTCTTTTGTCGAATATGAGTTGGTTATAGATGTTTGGATTGATCTCCGGTGTTTCTATTCTGTTCCATTGGTCTATCCATCTGTTTTTGTACCAGTACCAGGCTGTTTTGATTA